TTATATATATATATATATATATGTTATATAATTTATAATATTTTCTAAACAGTTCCTAAAAAAAAAATTTTTTTCTACTTTTTAAACTAATTCTGACGTTTTAATTAGCTTAATCGATATTTCAAAGCTTAAGGACTTAAGCTTTGAAATATAGATTTATTATTAAAAACTAATATTAACTATCATTAAACTACATAACGTTGCTTAATTTTTAACTAATAAAGTTTAAAAATTATGTAGATATAATAAGGATCCATTTAGATTAAAAAATGTTTTAAAATACTTGTAACGGCCGCCATTTTGTCGAATGTCTTTTGGCTGAGTTAATTTTAATGAATTCAAAATCTTTAAAAAGTCTTTAAAGTGTTATATTAATTTGAATTTTGAAAGAAGAAATATAAATACATTATAAATAATTTAATTATTGGCAAAGAATAAAAACGAAAATGTTTATTTAATGATAAATAAATATTAAAATACTGTTTTATAGATTTTAATGTAAGTATTAATATAATTCATTAAATTTAAAGTATTATATTGTCAAATTATATAATAAAATAATTTAAATTCATTTATAAAGTTTAAAATAACGTTGCCAGCTTTTATAAAATTGATTTTAAAAATCGTAAATGAAAATTAAAAAAAAAAAGATTAATAAATAAACAAATTTAAAGGTGTTTTAATAATAAAATATAAATGAAATGTAATAATAAATGACAAAATGAAACATTTTTTCTTTGTAACAAATTCAATGCATTAGACTTCCTTAATTCTTAATGAAAACGTTTTAAAATGAAACAATGTGTAGTAGATTCAATTAGAAGTAATTGCGAACAGTCTATACCAGGTTTGGATGTTTTAGGTCAAGCAATTAGCCATCAGCACAGCATCAGGGTGCAGTTTCTCTGGGAGGGACAAAGAAGGGGAGGAGAGAGAGGGTGACGGTTGGTGTTGGTCCCCTTGATGAATTGTTCCTGTCCCTCGTTAACTGGTGTGAGTTATCTTCTCGGGTCGGTGTAAGTCGTAACATCAATAAATTACTGTTACTGTACCTTACTTCCTCCAAGTCTATTATTACATCGCCTGTTATTTCAACACCCACAAACTGGACTTTTTCTTCACCCAAGTATTGGAGTACTTCTTTCTCAACTTCACCTTTTAAAGTGATATTTACATTATAGAAACGAATGTGTCTCTTCTAGTCTAAAGAAACTTTCGCTCGATAGTATTTCATGGATAATTTTCAAAAATTTCAAATAAAACAATGAAATTCTCGCTTGAGTAATCGTACGACGTTGTAGAAAATACATATTGTCAACATTGATGGAGTACTATTATGCCCCGTCATTTTCGCAATATGTAAACGATAAGAAATGATCGCTAGTAAATTTGCTATAATGATTTTGTTATAGTTTCGAACAGATATTTAGATAAACACGTCACTAAAATTAAAAGATGATAAATTACTTTCCCGCTGAATATTATCAATTCTTATTCATAAAAACACTCTGCGCTTAACCATTTACGGAATGTGGGATGTCAAAACTTATCAAAATTTATTCTTGTTTACACACGGAGGGAACACCAATTGCGAGGTTTTGCTCCACATTCTCCCCTCTCTTTTTCTGTGTCCCCGCGGCACCTTAGAAAATCCGATGCTTTGCTTATTCTACAATTACACCCTAGATTGTTTCGTGTGATAAAATACTACAGGAACAAACGATCGTTGTTACAGTCAGCCCTATTGGTATATAAGTGGGGAAGTGCGTGCAAGCGACTACCTCACGGCACACACTTTCTAATGACGCGATTAGAGTCGTGCAAATTAAGGGGTTCACGCGGTAGAAAAAAAATGTATATAGAATAGGCACTAGTAGAAAGTCTAACACCTTAACCAAATACGACTTTCTTCCGCTTCAAATATTTTTCTCTAAACTTTTAGTAGGGCGCAAAGCGAATGAAGATAGCGAGAGAGTAGAGAAGATATACAAGGGCCTCATAGTTGTGGGCTTTTTCATTGGTGGAGGATGTCAACCGGACATACGAGTTATCTACAGATACTTATCGCTCTTAATTGGAAGAGCGGGAAATGTCAACAGCGAGTGAAGTTTCTTTAACCTGTAATTGTCTCCGACAGGTTTTATTATTATCTCGACGCCATCTCTTGATCCGCCAGCTTTTTCAAAATTGTCGCATTAGGGGTCTCCAGGTGTAAAACGTTAATGTGGCCCGCGGATTTTTCAGATACTTAAAGATAAAAAATGGTCTTTTATTTTGGGACAAAATTGATTAAAATGAGTTATTATCTTTTGAGGTTTTTTCTCCTTAACCTAACCCTGCTACGCGAACGCTTTTTCATTCGTAAAGAGGTTGGACCGGCCCTCCAGGGCTCCGTATTAGGATGATAAAAAAAAAAGTTAGGGCATACGAGGAAAAAGCTAATTATATTGGAGTCCATAGGTGGGTCTTTAATTTCAGACTTGAATCCAAAATTTACAAGCCAAACCGAAAGGCATAGTTAGAACAGTTGCGACTTTTTAATAGCGAAGAGTATGGATCTAATGTAAACTCTATGCATACAATAATTTCAACCGAGGTTTTTAAACATATTTGATTAAGAAAATTTTCTCAAATTACATACAAATCAAATAATCTTATATAAATAAAGTCTGACAATTTTGTTTTAAACGTTAAATAGATATACATTTACATTTATCCTACTGTTTATGGATACAATCCACATTAGTATAATCCATACATACTAGAGATTTACTAATGCTAATATTAATCAACAAAACTCGAATTTTAATTGATTTTAACATTTTAAACATAGATTTGTGTTATTTTAAAAGAATACATAACCACAAGGAAAGATTACCGTATAGTATAGCATTTTATGTAGAACATTATAAGAATATACTGTATAATATACTATATAAAACTGAGTGATAAGAACCTAAAAGAATCTCTTAAATTAAAAAATAATCAGTGCCGGATTGTCCCTTGGCACATAGGCACATGCCCAGGGCCCCGAGGGCTCCGGGGTGAAATTGGGAAAAAATAAAGCAGTTTTACCATTGCAATTGTATATCATAATTTATAAATAATTCTATAGCTACAGTTAGACATTATTAGTTTATGGTGTAGTAAAATTATATAGAGGGCCACCTAATCTTCTGTGCCCAAGGGTCCCGGAAGGTCTTAATCCACCACAGAAAATAATCATCAATAATGCTGTGTTAATGAGTTAAACATTTTATATTATTTATACAGTTCTTTAAATTTTGAATATTCTAAACGGAAAGAGACCGAGAACTTTAGTGTAGATCCCTGTTATTATTTAGACTACTCGGTCACTAAACCAGATGTTAGAAAGTGGAAAGTTTATATAAAACCAAGAATCGGTTCTTTCTGGCTTCTTTTGCGTCATATTATTTACAGTCCAACAATAAAGTGGCTACTTTGTTCGTAATTTCTCTGACAGTCATAAGTACCTTTCAAAATGGCTCCCGCCTACCGAAACTTCTACATTGTTCAAACAGCGACTATAACAATAACCTACCATTTTTCGTCACATTGGAGCGAAATAACACGATGATATCTTCAAAAAAGGAGGATCTACACACTTTTGATCGATTCCCCAAAATGTCTTAATGGACCCTCTCGGTAAGATAAAGACTAAACCTTTCATTTAAAACATTTCTTCTGATAAAAGTGTGAAGTGAAAATTTTCTCCATCGTTATTAATATATATATATAAAGCTATAATTAGATCAAGTTCCGAATTTTATTCTCTTGCAGGATCTAAATAAATAAGAGATAATTAACGTTGTCATCGACATTGGGCGGCTCGAACTTTTATCTTAAACAGATCTGTCATCGAAATAAGAAGAAAAAAAAGATAATCGACATTAATAATAAATTATAATCAATAAATTAATAACAGAAAAAAAAACTCATGGGATATATTTTTGCATTTAATCATTCAAAAATACGATCGTACCGAATGAATAATTCCATATCTAAACGATATTCGCAGCGAAAATCATCAGCATAGTTTTGCATTTCATCACTTTCAATAATATAGTTGATAGACTTAATGATAAGTTTTCCACTTAATGACGATGTTTATTATAATTAACTACAAAATAATTACATTATCACAATAGTTAATTGCAATTAAATATTGTAATCGAATGTATTAATTTTTTTAATTGGCATAAATTTCGGAAGCGGCGTGTTGGCTCGATACGGCGCACCGAAAATGGTTAGGAAAGTAACGATTTACACAGTTTGGCGATCTTAAATGGCCGAAAAAACAGGTGTCACTACGATTATAATTGCAAAGCCGTAAAATGTATTAATGTGTAATAACGAAAACGTGTTTGTTTTTTGACTGTCAACAGGAATTTAGTCCCGTGAAGTATAACTAACAGTTGAACTAATGATTCAAGTTTAGCTCGTTCCCCGCGGCTTCGAACCCTCCAAAAACAAAACACAACAGTCAGAGAAGCTTCGGAGAGCCCTGGAGTAATCGTCTACCGAGATGGATAATTATATAGATTGTCGATAAATGGTATTATAGCGTCTGTGGACGGTGTCACTAATCCTTAGTACAGGGAAAGCCAAGTAGACTGAATAAGGTCTGCCGTCTGCGTTAACACTTCTTGGCTGCTATTAAGGACAGATACCAGACTCTCTAACTTATCATTATCGCAATTCTTGTTTATCTGATCTAAAGATTGAAGATACAAAATTAATGAAAATCTACTAGCTGCAACATTTGATCTTTCACACCTTTTTCCATGTACCAAAGGATTTAAGTTTGTCGTGACTTAATTTTCGATCATTTGCTTAATTTATCCCGAAGGGATGTCATTTCGGCCACTTTCAATCGTGATATTTGTCAAAATAAAGATGGACGACGACGAGATTATTAAAATTTTTGCAGCCGCTTCGTTCGAGATTCCTAAAACGACGATGATAATCATCAAAATTTCCATAATTTCACTGTTGAAAATTTTCAAATCGTCGTCTCTATCTTCATTTTAGGAAATCTTGGATGATAAATTCGCAAAGAAATTTTTAATTATTTAAAATATTTGTCGGAATGCTGAAGAACAACGATGATAATTCATTAAAATTTTTGCAAATTCATAAAAACTCTGACAATCATCATCGTTGTCATCATTTTGGAAGTTTGAATAAATGCTAAATTTGAGAATGTTTCCGATTATATAAAGCTAGAAGAATAATCTTTGTAAATATTTAAAGTAGCGAAGACGAAATTAACTTATAATTTATGAAATTTATAAAAATTTCGCTGCACAGATAAAGATCTATCATCTCGGGAATTTAATACAATTACATACAAAAGCTTCTATCGCAGTTTTTAATTACATTAACGTAATTAAAAATCTTTAAAATATCACCAAAAAAGTTAACTTAAAAAATAATTTCCAGTGAACTCTTGTAATATGAAGCACAGTAAGTCTGCAATTACGATTCTTCATCCTGAAGGAAACGTCTATTGAACCTCTACCGTGCTTAATTGTCCTCATAAAAAGACTCCTCACTTAGCAATTTTTCAAAAAGAAAAAGAGGATAAAAAGTTCGATTAATTAACGTATCATCCAACAATATATTTTATATAAAGGAATGATGCCCGACATTAGGAGCGGGAGTCTACGCCCCCTAAACACGAATCCATAGACTTAACACGGTCTCTAATCATCTGTCAGACGCTTTAACACTTTGAATGCGTCGTGGCCTAGCCGGGGAACACCTCCTGGTGTGTCACGTATACTATCGTCACGTCACGTCACGCTGTAGTCACGGTAACAGTAATTTTCCTATTATCTCTTCCATCATTCTGTCGTGGAACAGAGCACTGGACTGAGAGACTATGAAAAGGATCAAACCAGTTCGGTCATCATTCATAAACTACTCTCTCGATGTTTTCCTTTTTTTTTTTCTTTTTAAAGGAGGACTATTATATAAATTATTTTTATATTAAAAAGTTTCACTTCCCTTTCACGAGATGGCGCCACCAGTAGAACTTTAAAATATTTTTGAACGTAATAGCGCCATCTGTTAGAATTTTATAGAACTTTAAAAAAACAACAAATTGTTGTTTATGTATTTTTAAACGTAATTTGGAGTATTACGAAATAGTGAAAGTAATTTTTAAATAACAAAAGGCTAGCACATCGGTCCTTGGTGTTGCTTCTATGCTCCAGATAAAAAGAAACAATAGCATTGGATGCATAAACACAGATAATGATCATAACCTTCTATTTCATTCACATAATTATAGATAATTTGATTACCTCAATACATCTTAACCATAATTTCACAGTAAAATACTTCAAATTGCTAGAAATTCATGTGCATTAAGTAACCTTGATGATTTTTTTTGATGATCTGTAGTGAGTATATATTAGAGTAAGCTATAAGTGTAATGCAGAACTGAAAATGCAGACAAGACTATTGTTTACAGTTGTTATATTCCTCTTCATATTTTGGGATGTGTCAAATTGTGGTAAGTTCAATGAATATATTATAGGAAATTTATGTTATATGGAAATAATATGTTTAAAAAACATTTTACAAATTCCTTTTCAGCTTCTAACATCAATGCAGAAGACTCCAGAGCAGACAATTTTGTACGGAAATCTTATGCTCCCAAATTTCTCTCAAGAGCTCGACGTGTTGGAAGGAGTGGAGGAATGAGGATGGGCCATGGAGGTGGAGGAATGATGGGTCATGGAGGAGGAATGAGGATGGGTCATGGAGGCGGAGGAATGATGGGTCATGGAGGAGGAATGAGGATGGGTCATGGAGGCGGAGGAATGAAAGGAGGAATGATGGGTCATGGAGGAGGAATGAGGATGGGTCATGGAGGCGGAGGAATGAAAATGGGCTATGGCGGTGGTGGAAAAGGAGGGATGATGAGTCATGGAGGTGGAGGAATGAAGATGGGTTATGGTGGTGGTGGAAAAGGAGGGATGAGGATGGGTCATGGTGGTGGAGGAAAAGGAGGGATGAGGATGGGAGGAAGGAAAAAAGGGTAATAATGTTGGAAAAACTTTAACTAAAACCAAACTGTCATTTTACAAATGTATAAAGATTTTATATTTCTTGTCTTACAATTACATCCATTCAATGTATAAGATTCATGAGCAAACAATAAAATTCCTGAAAAATTTATTAAACATTGCTATTGTTCGGTATCATAAAAAATAACATTTGCATACATACATACACAGTTCCAATACCTAATGACTTATTTTTATTCTGAATTCAAATTGTTAAAAAATTCATTTTTGATTTATAAACTAAGTAAATACTACTTTCAATGTTTGAAAATTGGATATTTTGATTATCAAATAATACTTATTTGATTCTCTGTACAAAATATACAATTAAAAAATCATTATATATGTTAATGTGTATTCAAAAAATAAAAATAAGAACTCTGATATCAAATTTCTTATGAATAACTGCTACATTTTATAAAGATATGAAAAGAAAAACAATATAAAATCTTTTATAGGTTAAAACTTCATTAAAGGGATTAAAGACATTCAAATTCTGTAAACAACATTAAGCAAGATAAAATTAATTTTCTAATATTTAGTATAACAACTCATTTTATATCTTAGTAAAAATTAACTTTATGAAAAAATTTCTTATAAGAATATTCATTAATCAAACATAAACCTTTTAATTATTTACAATAACTATAATATGATTGTCAAAATATCACTTCAAACCTAAATTTTATATATTAATAAATGATTAATATATTAAAAATTTCTGTAAATTGTGGTTTGCAAACTGATCCATATATTTCTAAATGATAACATATAATCTAGCCAATCCATTAATATAACAGAAATAAATATAAAGGGTTACTACAACTAATTTCTTCTTGGTAAATCTATCAAAACAGTTTGCAGACCACATCTGTAAGATTTGAAAGAATTTCAAACAAATAATGTGTTAAAAATAACCATCTGAACAGCCAGTTATTTGATTACATATTTGTCAAACTGTTAATGCCAAATAAAACGTCAGGTGCTGTCTTCCATAGTTTTTGGTTGTTCTATTGTATTTTCTTGACTGAAACTGCTTTGTTCAGACAACTGTCTTAAAATGCTTGAGCGAACACTTTGAATTACACAGTCTGTTATGGATGATTGCAACACTTTATCTTCAATCTCTTTGGTGATGCGTCCTTGTATATTTTTCAATAATTCTTCATACTGATTTTTACTTTCTTCCACCAGATTACTCAAAAGACGAAAATTTTCCTATCAAAGCAGATAATTATTATGATCTGAACAATAATAAGGAATATAAATTGATACCAAACTGTACCTCTGATCCTTCATAATTGAAAATTCCAACGCAACTGACTGGAACCGATTTCATGCATAGTTTGCCCAAGGTTCGTCTCTGTAATGCGAACACGCATGGTATTTTTTGTTCTTTAGTTAAATTTATTATTATTTGAAGGGCATCATTTAATCCTCCTATAAATAAAATTTTTATTAAATGATATATAAGTTTCTCTACAAGGATCTTTTAAAACAAAAAGTCAATAATTGAAAATTACCTTCTGCAGAAATTTTTTCTATATCAGGAGCGATAATAATGCATTTCAATTTGGATAATCTTAAATGCTTTGTTACCTCTCGTAAGCCTTGAACAAGTCTCCTTTTCATTCGGGCCTTCAGGAAGATCATTATATAGTTATATTGTCTATAATTTCTTTAAATAACTTTATATAGTTTTAAACAACAAACATCTAACCTTGACTGGATCTTTCTGGTGTAACCTGTCTTGAAATCTTATCAAATCTTTCAATAACGATTTTACGGCACAATCTATTTCTTCACTTAACATATGATTGCAATAACTAAAAATACATATTTTAAAATTTACTTGTAAAAGTTATATATATCAAAAGATTTAAAACTTTAATATATTAACATACTCCCGAAATTTTCTTGTATGTAGAATTAATTTTGCTGCTTGTAATGTTTTATCTTCCACAAAAGTGCTCAAACTGACTTTAGAAACTAAATAATTATCAACAGTTTCTTCACAGCTTTTTGATTCATCATCTAATAAAAACAGAATTTAATTCTCAAAAATATGGTATTAAGATACTTTTTCTAATAAACTTGAAAACAAATACTCATATTTTTAAATAACAGATGAGGAAAATTTTAAACAAATTGTTTCTTGAAATAATTTACAATCAATTCTACAGTATTAAATAAAATACATGATATTACTTGTTAAATTTGAATATGTTTCAATTAATTTGTTTTACTCTAATTTAACTTTTAAACTCTAATATCCATAGAATATATATATATTTTTTTTCAAATTTTGTTTCTCATTACGATCAATTTTTGATATTTGAAAGTATATATCATATTATTTTAAGCCCACAATGGAATGGTTAGGTGATGAGGGATGGGACCTGATATATCTGGGAGGACTATCCCCTAAAAATTCCTGGAATTTTTTATCCTGATCGTATTCTTCTCAGGTCTCCAATCCAAGAATTATATGATCCCCAAAACAGTAGGCCTTAACTGTTTTGCCGTTCTACCATCAACAAGATTATATTAAAGAACTTCACTTCTATTTTAGATGTCAAAGCATAATGGATTAATTTTTCATTGTTGTTCTACTCTTTTTTTCAGATCCAAATACCTATTCATATCTGAAGTTGAAATAGAACAACTCCAAAAATCATTTAATCCAGAAATAAAACTTTGGCTCTCTAAATTGTAACCACATATTTTAAATGTAGTGTCTTTGTTCATTTATTAATTGTTGTCAATTGCTATATATGTTTAAAACTATATACAGGAATAGACCAATTATCCAGCTTCTAGAAATCTAGAACTAACAAAAAAACTAGCTATTTTGGAATTTGGCAGGCTGTAGAATGTCTATACTTCTTTACATGGCTGCTTTGTTTTGGTTTCTGTGACATATACATTGCATGACACCAGTTCCATTATGTTCTTTAGTTATCTTCATTTAATTTTCATCCTAAATATTGCTCTATATATGGTATTCTATATTTTAAGAGAATTAATAATGATCAAATAGAAGAGTATTAATTTGTATCTGTTAATTACAATTTCTTTCTTTACTTTCCATTGATTATTTTATATTTTAAATATACATTTACCCTGTGTCCAGGAATCCAGACCACTTTCAGTCTCAAGCTTGTGAATAGTTGGTCTGTTACTGTATATATCAGGGATGGTCAACACGTAGACCGCAGTCGACCGCAAAGGTTTTGAAAGTAGCCCGCAAAGCTAAAGTTTAACAATTTGCTTTCACTTAAATTAATTTAATGTTTAAAAATCTTAATTTGATAATTTATTCTTACAATAATAGACTGTCTGTGCAACATACCCATACTGTTTGTATTTATCCCTATGAACAATGCAAATGAATGTTAACGCATGCGCATATAAAAATCCTAAAATTGCCCATATTCATAGTCGCCCGCAGACTATATTTTACCAAAAAAGTAGCCCCTAAGGGATAAAAGTTTGGCCACACCTGGTATATATAAACCATTTATAACTTCATATTTTTCTTGATAAAATTATTTCATTGTTATAAAAATATCTTACAATAATTATTATTCAAAATACATTATTTACATATATTTCTTTTAATTTTATGAATTTCTATCTTTATGAAAATTCAATATGCATTTAACTAAAAGATTTTAAACATAAACTGTGTTCTTAAAGACGCATGTCTTTTTACAATTCTAAATACATTATAACATTCTATTTATACTGTTATATATTTAAAAAGTTAGTTAACGAACAATGAATACCTTTATTTAAATCAGAGATAAATTAATGTAAGAAGCGTTACATAAAATAAGTTGATAAATTAATCAATATCAAAATGATATATAACAGTTCACTTAGTTTACTGTCTAAAAAACTAAATGTATCAAATTATTGTTTGGTAAAGAAAACAAATGATATATATAAAATATGATTATATATGAATAGTATAGTTAAATGATCTTTAACTGATTAATTGTCACATAAAATGAATTGCTCTATGATATTTTAATCCTCATAACTATTATACAGAAAATTATTATAAAAAAAAATAATTAATATTCAATGAAAATCTTAATCTCCTATTTAATCAATCCTTGCCATGTTTCTAATTTTATAAAACTTGATAAAATTTAAAATCTGTTTGAAACACCAAATGTATGCAATTTAATTATAATAAAATAAAAATAAAAGTGACAGAAAAATGAATATTTATTAATACGTTTATAATGTACTAATGTAATATGTTACAATTGAACACCTGATTTTATTAATAAAGCAAAAATGTTAAAAAATTTAAATCTAAATGTATAAATGATATATCAAAACTAAAACAAGAACATAAAAATCCAGATACAAATATATTATTTGCTTTAAATGAAATTCAAATCCATGTATTTCAATATTATGTTGCTAACTAATGAGCTACCATCTAAGATACAGACACTAGTAACATATTAAGATTACATTTATTTGCTTTTTATATCTTCACATACTGTTTTATAATTAAATGTGTATTTTCAAGTATAAAATATTAATTTCTTTTTCTAGTGTAAAATATTCACATTACATTTGAAAAATTAAAGATTCAGTATATCAAATAAATCTTTAGTTTTATTTGAGTTATGAAATAAAATTATCAAACTCATTAGTCATAAGAGCTATGCAAATTTAAGTCTCTGAATAAATGAAATTATATTAATGCTGTAATTTTAATTATTAAATAATTTTGATTATAAATTATTTAATAATAATTTAAAATCAAAATTTTCAGAGTGCAATTATAAAATATAACTAATATGCTAATATTCTATTATAATTTGTTATATTCCACTGGAAATTTAACTTATTATAAATTATAATTCACTTACTTATCATACTAGAATTTTCATCCATGCTTTTTGTTTCTTCTGCATTTTTAAATTTTACTTCATCTAATCTTTGTTTTCTTTTTTCTCTTTCTTTCAATATTACCTATATATTTACAAGAAATTACAAATTACATATGTATTTTTGTAAAAATAAAAATATTAAAACATAATGTAAAATGTATTCACAGTGTTGAAGACTAAATACAAAAAACTTTTTTGTTTTAATATACTTTTATATATAAAGATATTTAAAAAATATCTGTCCAATACCAAAGAAATTTTTAGACAATTTGCATATATGCAAAGATGAGTCCCTACAGAAAAGTTGACTCCACTACTATTAATTATGTTCCAACAATTGTGAATGGATGCACCAGATTTCAAAATGTGTTTTGTATTTAGTCTTCAACATTGTGAATAAATATTATTTTAATCATACAAAAATTGGCTTTATTAGATGATAAAATCCCATATTCTGATTTTATAAAATTAAATATTCATCAAATTATTAAAATTAACAAAATATGTTTTAAATTGTCATTCGCTAACTTTTCTCATAGCTGAGATCCGTTTTTTGTTAGGTTGTTCCCTTTCTTTTCCTCGTTTTTTCATTGGTGCTGATGAATCCAATATGTTATGTGGATTCAACATCTTAATATAAAAAAAATTAGAACACAATAACTGATTAATAAATAAATCATATTATAAAATAATAAAATGCGTTTTTATATTTAAAAGATATAATACTTACTTTGTCCATTATTCCTCTTTTAGTTGATATAACTCTTGGTTTGACATCTTTCTTTTTTTTATGACTTGATTTTGAAAGCTATAATAATAATAAATGCATTAATATGTATTAATTATATTTAATTATTTAACTTATTAGAATCATGTTTACATTATTGAAATTTTCAATTAAATTATAAAGTATTTTAGACAGTTTATTTATAAAATAACTATTCTAAATTTTTAAATAGCACATGTTTGAATTGTTAAGCATTTGAGTTCTGTAAAAATTATTTATCAATTGTCAATATTCATAATCATGTATTTTTGATAGTTAAAATATGAAATATATAAATGTTTTTATATCAATAAATTTGAAAGATTATGTAATCTTTACTATTAAAGATAACCAAATGAAACCATATTCAATAAGCAACACACTTTAGCAATATTTTACATGATAACATGTTTGATATGATGTATTCAAAAGATCATTAGCTCTGTATAAGCTGCTATTGTTGAGAACTTTGTTCAAACTGTCCATGGAAATGGCTTAACAATGTATTATTTTAGGTACTAAAAAATCCTAGATCTTCTTTGTAGATATAATGAATTGGCAACAACACACTAATATAAAAAAAGATTATAACTTTGCACCCATTATCAAAAGTAAGAATATTAGGTCAGTATTCATTAATGGTCAAGTAACTTTTGATGTTTACTTCTGTATTAAACAAAAATAAAAATTTGTACCTTTTCAGACAGAATATAGCATTGATTTAATGTACAGTCAAAATGATATCAATAAAATAATGCTCAATTTCATAATAGTAATGTAATTCTTTATTTCCTTCATAACAATTTTTGATATTGTTTTTAAAAATAACATTGATTAGAAAAATTTATCTAATAAAAAGAAATTGACGAATTAACATTAAATATTTAATAATCAAATTGAAATCAGCCAAAACAGAAAATGATATGATCAGAGTAATGTTAATGGATGATGAACAAAAAAAATTTCAAATGTTTCTTTCAGACATATTCAATAAGATATAATTTTAATTTTAAAANATTTTAAAAGTCCAATTAATCAATAATGAAGTCTTATGATTTTAATTATTTTTCTTATTATTGTTAACTTATAGAATTCAATATTTTAGAACAATCTGTTACTTGTCAAAAATGGCAGAATAAATGAAACCCATCGGTTTTTTTTTAAAGGGTTAACAGTGAGCAAAACTCCATCAAAAATGATCAAAAGAAATTTTTAAAAAAATGATTTTTACTTAAAATTACACAATGTTATAAAAGAAATTTTAAAAGATAATCATCTAATAATTTTCCTTATTGATCCAAATCTGAAATAAAAATTGTCAACCTTGCAGTAATATAATCTTAACTATACCCAATTTTGTTCATCTTTGATTTGTGCATCAAATATACTATTTTGGCAGATAATTAACTTGTGAAAAATATTTTCACCACAGATAATATTATCAATTAATTTTTTCAATGCTGTATTCAAGATATAATTTTTGAGTCTCAAGTCACATTTGAGAAAAACAATTACTTCCAATGCTATGACTCAGTTAAAATTAACTAAAAATTATTGTATTAAAGTTTCTTTTTCCATTTTTGACTCTCCATCCTGTGAATATTAAGGGAGCCTTTTTCCACTTCCATCATGAGTTTGGATCTACACCAGGAGTGACTGGATGCTGAGGGATGGGATCCACATATTTAGGTCAGATCACCCATGAAAAATTCCTGAGATTGCTCACCTAGATTTGATCCTGGATTCCCAGAGTAATAGTTAATTACATCATAGGATCACATCTTAACTGTCTCTGTCATATTAAAATTTACCAGATGAGAAAAAAATAACCATTTTTTGCTTACCATTAAAATTTTTGTAAAAAAATAAATACCAATTTCACTAAGCAACAATGATGAAAATTAAAAAGAATAATTAATTTTTAAGGATTTTTATAAGTTTGAATTTCAATATAGTTACCATAGAAATGCACATTCCAAAAACAAAAGGGATTTATATAAAGCTGGTGATGTACAGTACTTTACAGATACAAAATATTATTTTATCAAATAATCTCAAAACTACAACATAATTTCTACATTTAATAAGTTTGAATTAACTTTAGTTCATTTTAAAATCATCAAGCAGTTAATATATTTATTAAACTTATCTAAGTAATTCATATAATGTGAAAATTCAAATACAGTATAACCTCCAAATAGTGAACACAAACGGGACTGAGAAGTTTGTCTGCTATTGAGAGGTACTGTATGTACAGTACATGCTGGCATATGGTATTTTAACACAGTTATCATAAAGAGAAGATTTGATAGATTACAAAACATCAAATACTAAAAATTATATGATTTTTCTGTTAATGATAAATTTTAACCAATTTACTTTTACTTGATGATGGCTCTTCCTTTTGTATAATTGAATTATCTTCTAATTTTTCTTTGTGGATTTCTTCCTTATTCACACTGTTAGCTGGCTATGTACCAATGAGTATTGTAAATGTAATTATACTTATAAAAATTAAGCAAATAATCAGTAATAGATCACTTTTTTAAATGTAAAAAAGTTATATGAAAATTTAAATTTTATTCATAAATTTTTCAATTTTATATCAAACATAAATGTTTAGTTGCTTTACAAATTCAAAATTCTAATTATATAAATCATAATAGTTACTTATCTAAAGTTTTGAATAATATTTACCGGATTATTCATCTTTAAAATACTGCTGAATGTTGAATATTTCCAAGAATCTACTGAACTGATATGAGTAGAATCGGGAACAATTTCAGGAGTAATAGCCTGATTTTTAATTACTGATTTAGATGACAAACTTTTATCTTTTGTATCATTGTGCGTATTTGATAATTCATTATTTTTTGAAGAAGTTGAACCAAGATCTGGAAACTCTTCTGCGTCGGATAAATTAAAATTGTTGTATTTGTACTCGGATGATTTAACAAACTGCTTTGTGATAGCAGCAAACATTTCTGGACTTAAAAGTGAAACTTTTCCACCATCAGTTTTCTTCTTTTTCTTATTTCTTCTTTTCTTCTTAGTTTTCTCAGGTTTTTCTAATGTTTCTTTTCCTTTATTTTCTACAGACTGAGCATTCACTTGTAATACTTCTTTTTCTTCTTTGGGTGTATTAGATTTTTTTGACAGATCTTTGGATGGACTATTCTTTTGTAAAACTTTATTAGGTTCTGATATCTGAATGTTGTCTCTCTGATGGAAATCAATTTGATTTTTACCCTGTTGAAAATGTTCCTTATTTTTTGATACATTTTTAGTTCTTGAAAAATTCCTATTTTTCATTTTTTCATGTTTTTTATCTGCATTATGCAAAATTTCATCAGATTTTTCAATATTTTTACAATTGTCTGATACATGAATACTTTTATTAGGAAATTTATTATTACTAGTTTTATCTAATTTTAATACTGTCTTAGATTCAAATTTTAAGACCGAAGAATAAGACGAATTGTATGACAAAGGTTTATTTTCATCTACAGAATCAGTTTTATTGGAAATGGAAGGCAGAGTTGGAAATTCAATATTACTATCAAATTTTACTGGTGTTTCATTAGTATCTGTTCTAGATTTGATCTGTTTATGTTCAGAACAATTACTTTTAATTTTAAAGTTTGAAAGATCTGAAGAAATTTGATTTGTTTTACTGCTGCTATTTCCTTTCTTCTTCTTTTCTTTCTCTATTAAAATTAAAAAATTTAATATAATTTCTACTTAAATTTTATAAATATAACAATATAAAAAATTTAATTCATATAATATAATAAATTATTTTGTTTGTATCATTTCAGAGTTACTATTGTCATTTTAATAATATACTATAATCAAACATTTAAATTAAATTTTAAATTATTTGATAAAGAGTTTTTAAAAATTAAAGAAATATTGTTATATAATTATAACTAGAATTACAATTATTTATTATAAAATTGAATATTCATACTGTTTAAGATATGATTAAAAGTGTTGCAAATATAAATTTATTTAAATATGCCAATGCTACAGTCTTCAATTTTATTTAAACATAGCAAATTAAATTCTTTGATAGATTAAAAGTCAGCTTCAATGTTGTGGTTGTGCATATAACTAAATATTTCTAATTTTTTAATGTTAAAAATAAAAATTGTAATTGTATATGCAAAATTTCTAATTCATTGAATCATTTCATTTCTTTGATTTGAAAATTTGTTTATAATAAAATTATGTTAAAAGAATATACATATAATTTATCAAATTTTATTAAAAATTATTATTGAGTCTTCACAGGAAAAAAATTTACTGAAAAATTCAATAAAATTGAAAAAAATCATCTCTTTATAATTAATATTTTGTCATTTTAAAATTGTTTAAATACAAATAAAGCATAAATAACTATTTATTCATTTAATTTATTTTAAAATAATTTTATAAAAGTTTTAATTATATCAAATGGAAAAATGCACGCCTAATGTTAAAAAATTCAGTAATCATGAATTATCAGTATTTATTTGAAAGATTAAAATGATAAAATCTAAATATCTGAATGCCAAAAAATAATATTTTCAAACACTAAACATTTTGAGTCAATACTTATTATTTTATTATATTTAAAAATTTAGCAAACAATATATTATTTTTTATTAATAACAACAATAATTATTTACAAGGTATATATTTTAAATAATAAGACAAAATTATAGATTATAGTTCATTTTATTTGTTTCTCTCAGTAAATCAAAACTTCTTTTTTGTTTTAATTTAGCTAGCTAAAAAATATTCACTTACTTTGTACATTAGGATTACTTTGTACATTTCCTTCAGAAATCTCCACATATTTTTTTGATTTTCTTGATGCATGATGTTTTTTAGGCTAAATTAATAAATTTAAATTTAAATTTTTATCCTTATATATTATTAATTTTTAAAATTAATTATAAATTATATGTTATTATATGGATTTCATTAAAAACTTATAATTTTTTAAAATTATTTTTTAATCATCATTTGTATCAAGTAATTAAAGCATTTTCCCTTATATCAATAAATTATATATGGCAAAAGTTACTAAATTACTATTTTGGCCACATTATATAATTATTTATTGAATAAATTACTTAAAAATTTGAATTATTTTTTAAAAATTGATAAATACAGTAGAGCGTCGTTTATCCGAATCAATTGGGGACTGGGATTGTTCGGATAACTTATTTTTCAGTTAACGAATCATGTACGGAAAAATATATTAATTTACCCCATGTTAAAATTTCTCTCCGTTGCATGTCAATTCGCGTTGAATTTTGATCGATGTTAAGCCTAACGAAGACTATTGTATTGTTAGAAATTATTTGTTTATTTTGTACAAACAAAATAAATATATTGAAAAATATAAAAACAATAAAAAATTATACTTCAGAAGTTAATTTAGTATCAAAAACGTAAAATATTTAAGTAGCCGAAGACATAGCCAAAGATTACAGCGCCACAGCAATGGCGAAAATTTAAACTTGTCAACTGGAATACCTTCGGATAAACGACGCTCTACTGTAGTGCACTTACGATGTTACATTTATAAGGGAAAATGCTTTAATTACTTGATATATATAATTTGGTATATATGATTTAAGACTGGAAGTGTAAAATATTAGAAGTGGTCATTGTAGTTCAACAGAAATTTTGTGAAAAACAAAATATCAAAGATAAATTAAATCCAATGTTGAATCACAATGTATTTTCCATAAATTATCTTCAAAACTAACAGTTCATTTTTAAATTCATTTGTTTAATTAACCTCAATTTGATATTGAATTTAGATACATTTTGGTATAAAATCTCATCAGTCAACAAGACAATTGTGTTTGCTTTACAATAATTACAATTGTTATATTCGTGTTGCTTAGGTAAATTGTGTTATAACAAATCTTTGGTACTATACAACTTATTTTGTTATAACAAAATTTCATTATAACAGATAAAGGAAACAAATTATAAAGCAACTTTTATTTGAAAATAATCATACTTATGCTACTAATCATTATAAAATTTTATTTTTTGATTAAATATAGTATTATTTTTAATACATTCTACACTGTGAGCACTAAGGCCTTTTTCCGTAACCACCATAGGTTTGACCAAACCCACAATAGAGCTGGTGATGAAGAATGAAGCTTGACATATTCAGGATAGGCTGTCCTCAAAAAATTACTAGAGTTTTTTCAACCACCCATTTGATTTTGGGTTACCCACAATAGTAGGTTGATGCCTTAACCACCTCAGCCATCCAGGTACTAGTATTTTTGATTATATGGTTTTAGTAGAACCATTAAAAATGAAGCTTTCAACACTAACCACTAGAAAGTGTTTTTAGGTCATCAATAGCAAAGGACAAATATGCACAAACTTTTCTCAGGCTGTTCAAAGTTTCTGAAAATAAAATTTTCTCTATCACTTGGCTCAATTCAAATTGTAAATAATGTCAAAGGAAAATATATTATTCATTTTCTGAATAATTGTTTCTTTCCAAATGTTTTAATTTTTCTTTTAACATAAATTGATGTTGTGTCTCAATTTTTTTGTTTATTTTAATGGTAATGTAAATATAAAATTAGCTTTATAATAATTGTAACAAATTGCAATAACAATAAAAATACAGGTGGCTGAAAATGTATGAAGTATTTTCATTAAGCAAACTTTTCCTAAACTACAACTAAACCAAACCTCCAGAATAACTTCCATTTTTTTTTCTGCATACTCATATGCAAAAGAAATTGGACATACTTATTTTCTGTTGAACATGAGTTGCTGACAATTCTGAATGTTATTTTTCTGAAAATCATTTGATGTTTAGAAATGGAAGGCCTAAAAGAAGATAAATATAGAAAAATTATTGGAAATTTTTAAACTAAAAATGATGAAAGGTAAACTTTTCATTGTGGAACTTTTAAATACAGTCAAACTTCCATATTATGAACTTCTACATAGTGAATTTTTACATTGTACATTCTTCTTTCAACCAAAAATATATGTAAAGTCGCTTCTAAGTAACGAAGTTAAATTTTCATATAATGAAATTTTTTTAATTTGTAAGGACAATCGATCATTTAAAGTCGATTACTCCATGTGGGCCGAGTTAGAATTTAGGTTCCATTTCAAAGTATCAATCTGTAAACCCTTTGTAAAACTATCCCCCAGGTGTGAGAAACACCGGTCATTAGCTTTCAAAACCATCATACTACCCCACATGGCTACCAGTTGTAAAGAAGAGGGAGTGTGATTAGGTCCAAATGCCATCATTAACAGATAAATGATTTACAATTAGTGAATGTTGAAAACATTAGAAAGGTAATAATTACTGACAATTGCTGAACTAATTTTTGAGGTTGGTGGGATTTTATTTTATTTAATAAGTTGTCCAGTTGAAACTTGAAAAATTGTTAATATAGTTACAATTTCATGATGAGCTCAGGATATAGTGTTAATATAGTGTTTAAGCATTACTAAAAATACTTCACGTGTTGTGAAAAATTGATAAAAGCTTAAAAAAGAAAGACATTGTAGCAGAGTTTGGAATTACTATGAGTAGTTTATCAACCATAATAACAATTTGTGAATCAATTTTGAAATTAACCAATAATGCAAGACCTACAGGAAACCATGCTAGAATTTGCATTTACATTAACGTAGTAATGAAGCAGTTTTAATGTTCTTAATAAGTGTGAAGAATATTATGAAGAGAAAACATTTTTTCAATTGTTCTGTGCAACAAAAAATTATAATATTTTTTACAAAAATGTAGTTAAACTAAGTTGTATATGTTTATATTATGTTACTATTGGGGTTATTACTGTATATTACATTTATATTAATTTAAATTACATGAAATAATGAACAAATTACATTAAAATTATACTTTATTTACCAAAATGTGTAATTTCTGTATAACAAAATTTCTCTATAGTGAATTTTTTTCAGGATTTAGCAACTTCATTATATAGAAGTTTGACTGTATATGGGCATTTCAAATAGCATAATATAAATATAATGAAGAGAGTGAAAGAGAAGAAAATGCTATCTAGATATGAAAGGAGTGGAAAGAAAAAGGGCTAAAATGATTAAAGCAAAGCATAAACGACCAACTAATTATGCTGTTGGTAAGATGGTCCAGTCTCTCTGAAAGCTGGGACCACACACATGTAATGGGATATTAAAGGAAAGAATTATTGTTATTAGGAAAAGAATTTCTGCATCCAAGTCTACTGTGAAGCAGTCAGAAAACCATATTACTCCAACAAATGAACAATGGAGTTTTCTGGCCCAAAAACAACCTGGGGTTGTTATTAAGGATAATGAGTATTAGTTAGATTGGATAATCCTGAATGTGTAGAAAATAAATAATATTGTAAGTGAAATAAAATATGATGATCAAACATTTCACAAAATTCCCAATTAAAGTTTTGGAATGGGTAGCCATAAGATGTTGTGAATGGTCTCTGGCCTGTCTAAACATTGTTTTAACATGGAAGTATACAGAACAGATTACATCAAGAAGAGACTAGCTCTATTCTGAAGCAGCACTATCTGAATGGGTATTATGTGTTTTGGCCAGATATGGCAAATGTCTACAATCAAGACACAACTGCTGCCTTTGATCAATGTAAAATATGATACCAGTACATTTCTCCCGGAAACACTATGCTTAATGTACCCCAACTGAGACCAATTAAATTTTGGTATCAGTTAAAGCAGAAAGTATATGATGGAGAATGTGTGGCCAATTCCACTGTAAAACTTCACAACAGAATTTGGAACAAACTCCATCAGTTTATGATTGAAGACTTCCAAAATATTTTGAAATGTGTGAATACAAATATTCAAAATGATAGCGTAGATTTAATTTTGTTAAACTGACATACTGGTTAAATATGTTTTCTTTAATTATTTTATGTGCATCATTCATTTTGCAACTCCATAACTGGAATAAATTCATTCTGATATTCTGAATTTTTAGTTTACAAACACTTAATAAACATTTTATAATTAAATCATCAGTAAAATAACAGTTAATAATAATGTTTATTACCTGAAAACTTGATTTATTAGTCATTTCAGACTCTATTGTTGAAACAAAACATTTAGAATCAATGATTGGTGCAGTCTGAAATGAACATTCAGGAGCTATCACATGGGTAAATGGATAAATTGGATTATGCAGAAAAGATGCAGGATAGATAATTGGAGATTCCCATTTACTAAAATAAAAATAAAATATCAAAAATTAATTTAATTTTTATATAAAATAATTCTAATATATATAAGATATAAAATACATCCAAATGTTTTTGTGAGGTTTCTAGGGATTTTTAGTTCAAAACCCACTCCTGCTACACCAATATGTGAGCCACCGGGAGGTAAGAGGAAGTCCTTTCCTTCCGGCCACAGGTCGGTGACCTACTTTCTTGTCAGGGATGGTAGTAACGTTCGGTTACGCGTTACGCGAGTGGAGGAGAGTCGGAGGGGTCGACGATAAGATGTTGGCAAAGTCGAGTAATGACACCATTTAAAAACAAAACAATGATTTATTTTACTAGCTAACTAAATAAAAATTTTACAAAACCTCATATACTTCGCGGAGAGAGAGAGAGTTTACAATAACAAGCGATCATACCTCTTTGCATATACTAGTGGGATATTTTCCCGTAATGTCGTCCTTTATGGATTCTGAGTGGTGACACAAGTATAGGTCGGCGAGGAAAGTGTAGGGCTGTGATGGGAGTGTAGGGCGGCGATGGAGAAGGCGATGTCTGACTTCGACATTCGGCGATTCCCCTGATGAGGGGAAGGTGTCGGGTTTTTATACCTTTTTCGGTGGGAAAATTAGTCAGGTGATGAATTGTTTTCGCAGGTGTGGGGTTAAAGTTGGTGTTAGAATGACAACAATATGACGAATTTTGTCGATACTTGTAAACTATTCACGGATTGATCGTGAGAATGTTTACAGTTAAATAGAAAGAGTTATAATTTTCTCATGCACCTCAAATTTCGTTTCTGCAGGTGCAACTTCTAGTTAATGGAATTTATTAAAAATTTAAAGGATTAAATGCTTTTATTACATTATATAAACCTTGAATTTCACATTTTTATTTACTACTACTTTTAATTGATAGTTCTAAACATTCTAATACATAATTAAATCTACATAATCTAACTTTAAAGATCCAATAATCACCATTCTTTTAACTGTCAAGCTTGCCACACACTAGATCAGATTGATCAAAATTGGAACTCTTTATGTATGAATGAAAATGAATTTTTCCTACACATTGGGGTTGGAAGTATTGTTTACTTATGATTTCCATTTATAGTTTCTTAGATTTCCTCTCACACATTTTCTTTCCTAATAGTGTCATAATAATCTGTGTGTGAAATGCTGTGTAAACAATGACTCATCGGTGTTATATTTCACAGAAAGACAAGACAAAGGAAAATAAAATTTGAAGCTTTTTCTTCAAAATAAACGCATTTCTTTCGTTTTTTTTTCAGTTTTAAGTATTTTTTACGTTTAATTAAATTAATGATTATAAAATATCAAAAATCTCAATGTCCTTAAGGGTTAACCCCTTAAGGACATTGAGATTTTTGATGAAATGATTAGAGAAAAATAATTTCAAATTTTAAAACTGTAGATTGAGACAAATTATATATAAAAACATTCATTTCATATTTACAAAAACTAAAAATGTTAAAAATTATCTACTTTTATATTCTATTGCAAGCACAGGCATTGCTAACATATCATGACACATTGCTCCCAAATGCATATTATAAAGTTCCATCATTTTTATTGTATTATTCTCAACTGCTACACTGCTGCAACTAAATGATGTGCCACAAAGCCATTCCAGGTGTGGTGCAAAATAAAAAAATATAAAACAGCAAATTTTGTCAATCACCTATCAATCAATCCATTGTGATCTCTTAAAAAATTACTTGAGGAGTATAAATGTTTTAGGAGAGAAAACAGTTTTCTAAAGAAAAGCTAAATGATGTCACTGGGCTCAAAAAACGAGAGCCCATATGCACAAGTCTGGTTTACAGAGAAGATAAGCTTGGCAAAAATACCTTAATCTGCTTTTAGACCTGGAGTTATTCTTCACTGTTTTAAATTATTAGAAATAGTTCAGTGTTTAACAGTAGTAGTAAAGTATTAAAATAAATACAAAAGCTACTTCAAGTCGAAAAAAAAGATTAAAAACATAAATTTTTGAAAATTTACTATCCTATTTTTATTTATTTATTTTATAATTATTCTGATTTGTACATCTATGAGCTAACAAAGTTCATCTAATTAAGCAGCTACCATTAAATGATTATTCCCTTTGCAAACAGCATTTTTTAAAATAATATATTCTTACCATTAAAATTTTAGATATAATTCAGATGATAAGTTTGGTTATGTATCTTATTTCTTATTGCTAAAAATTTTTAAAAAACTAATGCCAAACAAATGGCTAGATTATTCACTGAACTGTAACAAAGTTAATTTAATGCTTACATATAAAGCAATTTGGCTATAGGTATGCAATTAGACTACCAACTAATAATAAATTTAATAATTAATAAATATTTAATTTAAATTTTAAATATTCTGGAAGAAAAGATCAGCCAAAAGCAGGACTTAAACCTGCAATTTTTCTGTTTGCTGTGCAGATGCATTGCCGGTTACATTACTGGACCTCCTGTCTGATCTTCACTTCCAGAGCGATTAACTATTTAACTAATCTAGATATAACCACACTAGCAATGAATAATCTATCAGTCCATTTGGCATTAGTAATTGAATTGGGTTGGTGTATATGTTTCAGAAAAGCATATTTTAAATTTTTGACTATTGTTACAAGAGTTTTTCTATTCTAATAAAATAAAAAAATGTGTGTAGCTAATATAAATTTTTGTAATTTGAATAATATTTGCAAATATACTAAAAACTAATGTTATTTTTTTATATAAACTGAGAATATTTTGATGAGTAGACAAGTGAGATTCAAAGTATATTTATTAAATTAACTTCTTATTTGAAAACAAATTTCTTGAATAAACTTACCTGGGCTGAGGAATTTCAATTCCTGATAAGTTAGTTATAAAACCTGTATCATTGATTTCCGAATGATAATTGGATAAGCCGTAATAATTTACATTAAAATTTCTTGGCACAAACGGCGCTACATCAGGAGATAGCATACTTTTCTTAATCTGAAATTTATTTTATAAATATAAGATATTTATAAACAGATTAAAATATTTATTTAATGTATTTTAAAAATGTATATTTCATAATATTCATATTAAATCGTTGCAATGGTATTGTAATTAACAAAAGTAATTTTCTTAACATAGGAAATGATGTAACTTTTCAAAAATATTTAGTTTTTTTTTTTTATCAATAATGTTGCTATTGAAATTTTAGAAATATTAATAGAATTTTTATTGTACTTAAACTTTTCAAATCATATGAAATTATACATAGTTTTCAGTGGCGTGCCGTGACATTTGATGATAGGGAAGCTGTGTTTCTATAAGAAGCCGACTTCCAGGGGCAATCAGTCAGCAATGGTCTAGGGTCCATTCGTATTCGTTTGTTCAATAAGCCAGTAAAAACCGTAGACTTCTCTAAATGTATTTTTAATTAATAGATTATCTAACGCACTTAATAAATAAGCAAGTTCAATATAATTAACTCTCTTATATTAGATTTAATAGATTCTATACGCCCTCTAAATGCCAATTCTCGCTTCGATAACATCTACTAATTAAAATATATCTATTAGCCGTAACTATCT